CGGAAAGTTTCCCAGCTCAGCGACCAAGTTTACGAAGCAAACTCAAACCAGGAAAAGACGGGACAGCACAGACTGAGCCGACTCAAGCTGAGCCAGACCCGGCCAGGCTAAGCCAAGTCAAGCTAACCAAGCCAAGTCAATCCAGACCAGGCGCAGCAAAGCCAGGCCAAGCCAGGACAGGGCAGACCAGCTGAGCCGAGCCGAGTGTATCCAAGCCAGGCTGAGATAAGACAGGTCAAGAAAGGCTAGGCGAGGCAAAGCCAAGTCAAGCCAAACCACAACAGGACATGCCAGGTCAGACCAGGCCAGGATACACCAAGACAAGTGAAAGCAAAACAAGAAAAGCAAGGCAGGCTCGGCCAAGCCAAGCCTAGCCAGGACACCACAGAACAGGACACGCCAAGCCAAGCCAAATCAGGCCCAGCCAGGCCAAGACAGGACAGGACAGGAAAAGCCAGGCTGAGCTGAACCTTCCCAGGCCTAGCCGAGTCAAGCCAAGCCAGATCAGGCTAAAAAGGGCCAGGACAGGACAGGACACGTTTGCCAAGGCCAGGCCAAGCGAATCCATGCCAGACAAGGCTAAGCCACGCCAACCTACAGCTCGAACACCCTCCTTGCCTAGCTGATCGTGTCGTGTTCTTCACATGCAGTTTGTGTTCATGTCAAGCCAGGCCAGGCTAAACCAGGCCATGCCGGGCTGAGACAAGACAAGACAGGTCAGCCACGACCGAGCCATTCAAGTCAAGTTAACCCAAGTCAAGCCAATACAGGCCAAACCATGCAAGGCCAAGCCAGGCTATGCAAGCCCAGGCAAAGGCTATGAGGTCTTAAAAGAAATATGTTGTAATTAGCAACCAATTATGGTATTAGTACAGGTGGCAATAATTAAGTAACTGCCTACATGACTAGAAGAACACAGCCATGAAGGATAAGCTAAATTCTGAGTCTGAATTTATAGCTTTGTCAGAAGTCTGCAATAACTTAATTTGTTACACAACTTTATTGAAAGAATTGAATGTACAAATAAAGGGGCCTATGCCAGTAATAGAAGACAATACAGCTTATATTGAAATAGCAGCTTCTGAGAAGCTAAAAGGAAGGTCAAAACATATTGACATAAGATTTTGTCATGTTGTTGTTGTTGTTGTTTAGTCATTTAGTCGTGTCCGACTCTTCGTGACCCCGTGGACCAGAGCACGCCAGGCCCTCCTGTCTTCCACTGCCTCCCGGAGTTGGGTCAAATTCATGTTGGTCGCTTTGATGACATGTCATGTTAGAAAGACCATAAAAACAAAGTAAATAAAGTTACATTATTGTCCATCTTCGAAGAACCAAACTGTTCACAAAGTCTCTTGCCAACCAAACCAGGCCAACTTCAGCCAAAGCCAAGCCGGTCCAAATCAGGCCATTCCAAGAGAGGGAAGTCCCTGCAAGATTAGGCCAAGACGAGACAAGGCAAGGCAAGCCAACACAAGTCAGGCCAATCCAGGCTGTTCCAGACAAAGCCAAGTCAAGCAAAGCAAGGCCAGGCCAGGTCACACTAAGAAAGGCCAAGCCAGGACAAACCAAGCCAATGTAAGCCAAGCCTCTCCATGCCAAACCAGGTAAATCTGGCCCAGGCCAATCAAAGCCAGGCCAAGCAAGATCAGGTCAAACCAGAGCCAAGCCAAGCCAAACCCGCCCAGGCCAAGCACAGCAAACCCAGACCAGTACAAACCAAAACAAGCCAGGTTAGGCAAGGTCAGCCAAGACTGAGCCAAGCCAAGGCAAAAAACAGAGGCCAGGCCAAGCCAAGCAGGGCAAAACCAGGCCACGCCACACACAGACAAGGTAGGCCAGGCCATGCCAAGTCAAGATAACCTACACGTTGCTCTCTCTCTCTCCTCGATTGGCTGGTTGTGTCTTATTTTTAACATGCGGTTCGTGTTCATGTTCGCCAAGCCAAGCCAGGCTAAACCAAGCCAAGCTGGCCCAGGCCAAGAAATGCTTTTATCAGGTGGCCCAGGCTAAGCACCGCCAAGCCAAGCCAGGCCAAGTCCAGTCAACACCCACCAAGCCAGAGCAGGACAGGCTAACCCAACCTACAGGCCTCCCTCCCTCCTCGACTAGCTGGCTGCTCCGTCTTGTGGTGTTTTTTAACATAGGTGGCCCCTGTCTCACGTCCCTCAATGGGTTCAGCTTGAGGTTCGCCATTTCTATTTCCTCTCCCTTTTTTATATTATGGGGGGGGGTGTCGCCGTGGCCCAAACCTCTTGCCTGCCTCTCCCCCCACCCCAGTCCCACGGGGCGCGAGGGGGCCCCTGAGGCGGCAGGATTAGGGTTGCCAGACATCCGGCAAAAGGAGGACATGTCCGACTTTTCAGGATCATGTCCTCCGTCCGGCAGGCAAAACTAAAAAAAAATTCCAAAATGTCCGAGTATTCATCTCCAAGGTGCCCCACTCCCTGGCGCCATAGTTGATTATCCGGATGTCCTGTCTTCCACCCTGAATCCCTCTGGAATTGGGCAAAGCCGCACCCTCTTCCTGGTGGTGATGAAGAAGTAAGTCCAGAGAGGGCAGAGAGGTCATCATCTGCCTCAGGTTTCTTGTTTCCCATGGCTTTTGACATATCTTATCCTTAGCTGTTACAAATTAGCCACTAAAAACTGAGACATTATTTTAATTTTATGTCAATACATATACAGTATATGTATCTGTTTTTCAGTAAATAAACTGTTTTGCTATAAATGTAATTTTCTAACAAATACATTGGAAGGCAGCCCATCTAGGAGAAGCAAAACTCCGATTTCAAACCTCCACTGCCTTGTGGGCTATATCCACTCATAGAAAAGGCTTCAGGAGTTAACCTCGAGGCAAAATCCGGAGCTGGAGTCCCGAAGGCAGCTCGTGTCATTCTGCCAACTCCTACGACGTTGCTGGAACCAGTTGTATTGGCTCTTGCCTTTCCGTTGGACCATTTCAGCAATGTGGAGAGGGGGGATCTGCTGCTTGGGTAACATCCTATCCTCCATATTACTTTACCCAGGCTTCATGCTCTGGAGGGGACATTCCTCAATTCAGAGCATGTTACCATAGTCTTTCGAGACTGAAGGATGTCTATGTATCCTTAGCTGGCAAGAACAGGAAGTGTCAAGCTTGCAGAGTGACAAGAACGGGCCCGTCCCCCTCTTCATTGGCTTCCGGCTGTCACTTTCCAACAAGAGAATGTTGGCTGCAGCCCTTCAGGGGATGGAGGAGTCCTGCTCACCGCATCCCTTTGGCACGTTCTGAATAAAAGAGACGGAGACGCCTTTTGTCTGTTTCTAGGCTCGGAATTCAGGCTCACCTGGTGAAGATCCCTCCTGAGTAGATCCAGGACCGGTGGGGGCGGGAGAGGAGAGAAGATCCTCTTCACACCGCTTTCGCTCATTCGCGGCACGTGGGGCCTGCCCGTTGCTCCTTGCCATCATGGTGGAGCTGAACCTCTTCTCTTGTTGCTCGGAGTGGGGACCTCAGGTCCTTAACGCCCTTCCCGGGCTTCGTGGGGGGGGTATCCTGAGCACCCAGTCCTCCACGGCCTGCCCCCACCCCACCCCGTTCCTCTCTGTGGCCTCTCCCAGGGACTTTTCTCATGCCGTTTCAGCAACTCAAGCCATTGAGTCTCATCAGCAAACCATCGCACCATCGCACCGTCTGCTCTTAAGGCCACCACGTCTTTTAGGAAGCTGGCGATTTTACTTGGAGAGGGTCCCATAACTCCCAGAGGTTATGGTGGCCGTCAGAAATGGGCCCCTGCCGCTTGGCAGCCCACCCGTGACCAGAGGTCCTGAAAAGACCCTTCTGGACTCAGGACTGTGCCAATGGAAGGCCAAGGGAGAGCCCTTCTGTATCAGCTGCCCTCCGGATTCCGCCCCGTTTCCTTCACTTCCCCGATTGCCAGCCCTTGGTCTCTTCTTCGGAGTCCTGAGGTCCCGCTCAGTCAAGAAAGCGGAAACTCAGCGCTGTGGGATCGTTAAGCCATAGTAAGGGATTCTGAAGTGAAGCTGCTCTTAATTTGAGTCCAGCCACCATCACTGTGCAGTTCTTATCCCGAGGATGAGACTCAGGCCTGACCCCACGAGGCAAATGGTCCGCACTTCTTTTTTGTTTGTTTTTTTATTACTACAACAAAAACATAAATGACAAACAGAATCATAACTCAAGTATACAGTGTAACTCACCACCATTGGGAATATAAATTTTTATCTTAGTTTATATCACCATGCCCCATCTCCTTCCAAAAATCCAATGATTCTTATGCTAGGGTATAACCTTTATGTTTTGTAAATATGTATTCTAGATGAGGGTTCCAAATCCTGTTAAAACTATTTTCCTTCAATAATCTTTTCTGACTTTCAGTTCGCAAGTTCATTTATCATTAATAGCTAGAAGCCACATCTCATTATACCATTCCTCTAATATCAGTTGATTATTATTTTTCCAGTTCCTTGCAAATATCAGTCTAGCTGCTGTTAACATAAGAGCAATTAGTTCCATTCCCCCCACCCCACCCCGTCTAATGCTCCCTATTTTTCCTAGAGAGATGCCCGGGGCTGGTCACCACATATTTTGGCTGCTGCTTGGCTGACGAGAAGCTGGGCCTGAAGCTGCCCTTCCCCAGCTGGTACGTGGATCGTGGCGGAAACAGCTGCCTCATGGCCCCGGAGGTAAGGCTGGCATTTTCCCCGCGGGGAGCAGCGTTGCCCTCGGTGGGGCTCCTCCTGGCTGAGCGAGTTCCAGGCAGAAGCTGGGAAGAGCCTTCGCATTTCGGGCTCCCCCGTAATTACTGCTATCCAACTGGTCTTCCCTTGCCACAGATCGCCGTTTCGGAGTGGGATGTTCCTCACGGCACCACAGGGAAGGACCAGCTGACCCGCCCCAAGCCTTGCTCTCCTTATTCTTCATTATTAACCAAAGTCGTGTCGTGGTCGCAGCTGCTACGATTCAGGAGGCCTGGGTTCAAATCCCCACACAGCCACCAAGTTCACGGGGTGACCTCAGGCGGGACGGGTTCGGCCACCTACCTTACCCAGCAGTCGTGGGGATGGAAGCGGGAAGGAAGGGACTTGGGGGGGGGAGGCTTCCCCTGGGCACAAAGGTAACAGTAGATGACAAAAAAAATTTATCCCCCCCACAAAAAAACCCCAGTTAATACAGTTGTGTTTTAATATAATACTGGTTTAATTCTGTTTTTAAATATTTGTATATTTACTGTTCTTAGCTTTTAAATGTTGTCATTTTAACGTTGAAAGCCACCTTGGGTCATTTTAAGGAGGAAGCCAAGGCAAATGTATTTTAAATGAAAACAAATGAATACATAAATTTGTAAACAGTGTAGTTTGGCCTTCCATTTGCCTCTCCTTTGTGGCGTCTGGCTCTGAACAGATGGATCCCATCCCCACCCCCTCCGGCCTTTCTTTCCGCAGGTGGCCACTGCTGCTCCCGGCCCAGGCGTTTTGATAGACTACACCGGAGCAGACACGTGGGCGGTCGGGCCCGTGGCCTACGAGATCCTCGGTGCCCACAACCTTTCTATGGCAGCGGGGAAGCAACACTGGACAGCAGGCGCTACCGCGGCCAGGAGCTGCCGCCCTTGCCGGAAACGGTGCCCCTGGAAGCTGGTCGAGAGGTTGCTTCAGCAAGACCCCGCCACGGCGAGATCTGCCCTGTTTCCTGCAAGGAGAGGCCCTTTCTCCCGGGTGGCTCTGTCTCTTCGGGAGAGCGTTCCTCTGCTAGGGCTGTCAGAACAGCACCAGCTGTGGGATGGTGGGAGCGGGACACATCCAGACAACCCTAGATCAGGGAAGAAGGTGGGGGAACATGGACCCTGAAGCAGGACCTCTCTGGAAAGAGCTAAGATGGAGTGTCGGTGTTTGCATGAGACTTCCATGGGGGGGGGGGGAAATCATTTTTCACCTACAGCAGGTTAATAACATGTTAGACTTTGTAGCCATGAATAGTAAGCTTTTTACGGCCGGTTGTGGGAAAGTTGATTACTTGGTGCAATAAAGCATGTGTTCTCTAACACGCCAGAGATTATTTGCTTAAGTCTTGGCCTTATTCTGGATCAGAACTTCGACCCCAGTGCTGTGTTGCCAGAGTTGGGTCCCACAGGACACCAAGCGCAGGGACTGATACCTCAGAACACCAAATTTTCTGTTCCATGGATATTTTGTGCTGAGCAGGGAATTCAAGGCTCCAGCCAACCACAGCTTTTTGTTTTGAAAGTGGAAGCAAGTTTCTAGTCCTGAAAGCTGAAAAATGACTAAACAACAGCACACGGAGGATGTCTGCCAAAGTCTCGGAAGCAAGAATGGAGACTGTCGGATTTCCAGTGGTTGAGAGAGGGCCTGATCCACGCTATTTTGCCACTTGAGGCAGAGCAGAAGATCCAGGCTCAAGGCAAGGGGCATGATATCCAAATGCAACCCAATTACATTGGTGCAATGGGGAAGACAAACATCTTTCCTGTTTCTAAAATGGCAATCATCCCCAGTGAGTTCCCTTCCCATGCCATCTAAAATCTGCCGGGGGGTGGGCTTTTGTTCTGCCCGCTGGCAGGTGGACCTCGGCCGATTGGGGTCTCTAAGCCTCCCTCCCCGGAGTAGCAGAAGGAAGAGAACCTTTCGCAGCATCACCCCAGCCTGTGAACCACCTTGCTTGGACGTCAAGCATACGGACTGCACCCTTCGCATGTCGTGGAGACGGTTAGGCGGCCTGGTGAAACAGTAGCTACACATGGGAGAGGGAGGGCATTGGGGGAAAACGATGAGAAAACCCAGCTCATAAGGACCACGCGACAGGAGGTCTTGAGAAGAAGCGGGGGTGGCCCTGTGGACGTGGAGCCCACCCGATGTGCATCCAATGGGTGGTGGAGCCAGGATCAAACCCTTTGATGGCTTCCTCAAACCACAGCCCAGCCCGGGCAGAGCCAGGAGCATCCCCAACGCCAGCCAGACCTCTCTTCCGTGTGGCTTTAACGACATCCACTTTCCCCCAGGCCTTTTCCTGAGGAAGGAACCTCAGAACTCGCCATCTTCCACTAATTCTAACTCCTGGTTTTTGTATGGGCTTCATCATAGCTTGCAGTTGACTTGGAATCTTCAGGTTTTTTATACAGTACACTTCTATCCTTTAAAATTTGTTTAGAGATTTTATGCATGCATGCATGCATGCATGCATGTATGTATGTATGTATGTAAAAATATCTACTCTGCCTTTCTCCTTCAAAGAGACCCAAGGCGGCATAGGTCGTTAAAAGGCAATATTAGAAAGCTAAAAACAGGACCTGTGCAAATAATACAAGAGGACTCAAATATGACACTGGAAGAGATGAAGAAAACCAAGACCGAAGGAAGGACTC